ACTAAACTAAACCAGAACTAAACCAGGACTAAACCAGAACTAAAACCAGAACTAAACCAGGAACTAAACCAGGACTAAACCAGGACTAAACCAGAACTAAACCAGAACTAAACCAGAACTAAACCAGACTAAACCAGGACTAAAACCAGACTAAACCAGAACTAAACCAGCCAGAACTAAACCAGGACTAAACCAGGAACTAAACCAGAACTAAACCAGACTAAACCAGGACTAAACCAGGACTAAACCAGGACTAAACCAGAACTAAACCAGCAGGACTAAACCAGGACTAAACCAGGACTAAACCAGAACTAAACCAGGACTAAACCAGGACTAAACCAGAAACCAACTAAACCAGGACTAAACCAGGAACTAAACCAGGACTAAACCAGGAACTAAACCAGGACTAAACCAGGACTAAACCAGGAACTACTAAACCAGGACTAAACCAGAACTAAACCAGGACTAAACTAAACCAGGACTAAACCAGGACTAAACCAGACTAAACCAACTAAACCAGGACTAAACCAGGACTAAACCAGACTAAACCAGAACTAAACCAGAACTAAACCAGGACTAAATTAAACCAGTTCCACCTTGTGATGTCATGAAGTGGTCGTTTCCTTTTCTCTGTAGTTCAGTCCAGATTTGGCGACTCCACGACTGAAATGTTCCAGGTGATTCTAGTGAAGGTGAAGTGTGGAGTTTAAAAACACAGTGGAGCACTTCCTGTATCACCACATGATGACATCATAAGGTGGAACTCGTTCTGATGTTCTGTTGTTCTGATGTTCTGATGTTCTGATGTTCTGATGTTCTGATGTTCTGATGTTCTGATGTTCTGATGTTCTGATGTTCTGATGTTCTGATGTTCTGATGTTCTGATGTTCTGATGTTCTGATGTTCTGATGTTCTGATGTTCTGATGTTCTGATGTTCTGATGTTCTGATGTTCTGATGTTCTGATGTTCTGATGTTCTGATGTTCTGTTGTTCTGATGTTCTGATGTTCTGTTGTTCTGATGTTCTGATGTTCTGATGTTCTGATGTTCTGATGTTCTGATGTTCTGTTGTTCTGATTGTTCTGATGTTCTGATGTTCTGATGTTCTGATGTTCTGATGTTCTGATGTTCTGATGTTCTGATGTTCTGATGTTCTGTTGTTCTGATGTTCTGTTGTTCTGTTGTTCTGATGTTCTGATGTTCTGATGTTCTGATGTTCTGATGTTCTTGTTCTGATGTTCTGATGTTCTGATGTTCTGATGTTCTGATGTTCTGATGTTCTGATGTTCTGTTGTTTGTGTGCAGGTCTGACCCAGTACAGCTCCGACCCCAGAACCGAGTGGAACCTGAACAACTTCACGCAGAAGGAGGATCTGCTGGAGGCCGTGCGCAGCTTCAGATACAAGGGAGGAAACACGTTCACAGGTGAGAACCCGACGTCCGACCACAGGAAGTGAGCGCGGCTGCGATCGGGCTCCACGGACTCTGGCTCCAGCTCAGTTTGTGTGTAAAAGCTCCTCACTCTTCCCTCTGGACCTGCTGCTCCAGGATCTTCTCTCTCACCGCTCGGGGCTTTCAACAGTTTGTCCCAAATCCAGATCTGAACATTAAGAACCGACCAATCAGGCGCCTTCTCTCCCCCCGAGGCCCCTCCCACTACCGTTAGCAACAGGTTTGATTGACAGCGTTTAAACCAGTGGTGCGGGCAGGAGGGGGCGTTACCCTCTACAGCAGAAGAGTCCAACTCATGTTGTTCCGGGGGTCGAGTCGTGTTTGATCCAAAGTGTCCGGATCAGAAACTCATGTCATATAAACCCCAAAAATAACAAGAAGTTCAAATATTTGTGCAGAGAAACACAAATCTATTACACAAATCTTTTTGAATTGATGAACTCTTTCTTTTACTAAATATTATAATATTATGAACAACCTGAAACTTGAAGAAAAATACAATTTCAACACAAAGTTTGAACATGAACTTGTCTGTAAACAGAATAAGTCCATTTTTGTTGTAAAATCCTGCACTCGGCTCCACTTTTCTCATGTTGGACATTTTTCTGATGAGGGTCACGGTCAACAGTCAAAACGATCGTCCTTTAAGAGCGTTTGGAAAGAGACAAGTCTTCATTTGTGCTGCTCTGGTGGGAGGGGCCACGTACAGAGACGCTGGAGACGCTGCTGTGTGATAAACACCACACAAAATTAACACCATTTTAATAAAAAAATATCATGAAAATATTTTAGTAGAAAATCAGCTGAGGGCCAGAATAAAGGTCTTGGAGGGCCGGATCTGGCCCCCAGGCCACATGTTTGACACCTGTGATCTACAGTCTCGCTCCTGATTGGCTCGTTGGTTGCTATGATACTCATGGTCAGAAAAATATGGAACTCCAAATTTGCTCCAAACAACTGGAATCTATGAAAAAAATATAGATTCTGAAGAAAAAAAATAAATAATTAATTTATTTGTGAAATTGATGAATTTTAGGAAAACAGAAACATCTGAACTCTGAGTTTTTAAAAAGAAATAAGTGACACACGTTTCAAATCAGAGTGAAGACTAAACCAGGACTAAACCAGGACTAAACCAGGACTAAACCAGGACTAAACCAGGACTAACTAAACCAGAACTAAACCAGGACTAAACCAACCAGGACTAAACCAGGAACTAAACCAGGACTAAACCAGGACTAAACCAGAACTAAACCAGGACTAAACCAGGACTAACCAGGACTAAACCAGGACTAAACCAGGACTAAACCAGACTAAACCAGACTAAACCAGGACTAAACCAGGACTAAACCAGACTGAACCAGGACTAAACCAGGACTAAACCAGGACTAAACCAGGTCTAAACCAGGTCTAAACAGGACTAAACCAGGACTAAACCAGGACTAAACCAGGACTAAACCAGGACTGAACCAGGACTAAACCAGGACTAAACCAGGACTAAACCAGGTCTAAACCAGGACTAAACCGGACTAAACCAGGGACTAAACCAGGTCTAAACCAGGTCTAAACCAGAGGTCTAAACCAGGACTAAACCAGGACTAAACCAGGTCTAAACCAGGTCTAAACCAGGACTAAACCGGTACTAAACCAGGACTAAACCAGGACTAAACCAGGTCTAAACCAGGACTAAACCAGGACTAAACCAGGACTAAACCAGGTCTAAACCAGGACTAGACCGGTACTAAACCAGGACTAAACCAGGACTAAACCAGGTCTAAACCAGGTCTAAACCAGGTCTAAACCAGAACTAAACCAGGTCTAAACCAGGACTAGACCGGTACTAAACCAGGACTAAACCAGGACTAAACAGGACTAAACCAGGTCTAAACCAGGACTAAACCAGGTCTAAACCAGGTCTAAACCAGGACTAAACCAGGAGTCCATGCAGAAATATAAAACGACCTTAAGACGGCAGTGAGTTTCCTGAGGGTGGAGAACGTCACACTGGGTCTTTACACATGTGGAAGAGGCTCTGGTCACATGTGGACGTCACAAAAACCCACTGAGATGTTTCCACAGGAGAAATGTCCATCACAGCTTCATCTGGAGCAAACGCTGAGGACCACGACGTCACGACGTCACGACGTCACGACGTCACGACGTCACGACGTCACGACGTCACGACGCCACGACGTCACGACGCCACGACGTCACGACGCCACGACGTCACGACGTCACGACGTCACGCTCACTCTGATCTATGATACAGTCTGTGTTTGCTCCTCTCGTCTTCTGCTCTTCTGCTCCTCTCTGTCTCTGTCCAGATGTTCCCTCTGTCTCTGTCCAGATGTTCCCTCTGTCTCTGTCCAGATGTTCTCTCTGTCTCTGTCCAGATGTTCCCTCTGTCTCTGTCTCTGTCCAGATGTTCCCTCTGTCTCTGTCCAGATGTTCTCTCTGTCTCTGTCCAGATGTTCCCTCTGTCTCTGTCTCTGTCCAGATGTTCCCTCTGTCTCTGTCTCTGTCCAGATGTTCCCTCTGTCTCTGTCTCTGTCCAGATGTTCCCTCTGTCTCTGTCCAGATGTTCCCTCTGTCTCTGTCCAGATGTTCCCTCTGTCTCTGTCTCTGTCCAGATGTTCCCTCTGTCTCTGTCCAGATGTTCCCTCTGTCTCTGTCTCTGTCCAGATGTTCCCTCTGTCTCTGTCCAGATGTTCCCTCTGTCTCTGTCTCCGTCCAGATGTGACGTGGGGGTGTGTGTTGCAGGTCAGGCTCTTCTTCACGTGATGGAGCACAGTATGACGGCGGCGTCTGGAAGGCGCTCGGACGTTCCTCTGTTCCTGATTCTTCTGACCGACGGAAAATCTCAGGACGACGCCATTTCAGCCGCCACCAAACTGAAGAACAGCGGCGCCGAGATCATCGCCGTGGGTACGGGAGGGGGCGGGGCCGGGAGAGGGGGCGGGGCTAGTAGAGCGGCGGTGACTCTCTGATGTGACGCGGTTTCAGGAGTGAAGAACGCGGACGAGGCGGAGCTGCTGCAGGTGGCGTCGGGTCCAGAGGAGTTAAACATGTACAACGTCAACGACTTCCCCCTCCTCAGTAAACTGGTGTCACGCCTCGTGCACATCCTGTGTGTGCGAATCCACGAGCGCAGCAACGCCAACGCCAAACGTGAGTCACACTTTATACAGAGAATGAACATTAAAATAAGACATTACAGTTTGCAGTACAAGCCACACCTCTTGTACGAGGCTCCGCCCCCCAGGCTCCCACATCACAACTCTCCATAAAAACACAAAAACACAACACAAAACTGAACACAACAACTGGACAAACTGATGTGCAGGAGTTTCATCAGTGTGAGTGTGATGCTCTGAAGGGGGAGGGACTCAGCACAGAGAGTGACATGTGTTACTGTTTATACCCAAGAGTTTTTAAACCTGTACTCACCTGTCCCTGTCACTGTCACTCACCCTGTCACCTCTGTCTCACCTGTCACTCACCTGTCCCTCTGTCACTCACCTGTCCCTCACTGTCTGTCACTCACCTGT